GGTCTACAAGGAAGATGACGAGGAGATCTCGGAAGATGAGGAAACCCGACGTCACGAATCCCAGGAGGCCTCATCCATTGTCCAGTTTCTATCCATGTAGATCATGTAGGGCCCATGCAACCACTGCCTCAGGCCATCGAGGATGATGTCGAGTTCACGCGGCTGGGTGTGGTGGAAGAGGGGAATGAGAGTGAGGAAGAGAGTGAGAAAGAGAAGGCGGCCAATCAGGCCAACTCTGCCAAGCAGGATTGGGACTAAAGGCGTTGCAGTTCCCCCTTCACAGTCACATGCGTGCCTCCGTCCAAACCTAAAACTGCAATATACAGCCACCAAAACAAGTCTTTTTGGGGGGGCATCCTTATCTCCCCAGGAGTATCTCAAATTTTGCACCTTCACCAATGCCTTGCTCTCCCGCTCGAACAAGCTCACTGATCTGATTGCGTCGATGGAGTTTGAGCTTGGATCAAGGAGCAAGGACTCAACTGAGGGGAAAAGAGTTGAGAAGTCTCGTACTTACCGGGGTGCGATATCTTGCATGGTTCAAGTGTTGGGCTCCCCTTTCAACCCTGTACTATCTTCCTATCTCTGAGGTCCACCAGATCTTTGGAAGATGCTATTCAGACTTTGCAGTCAGAATACCAAACTTGCGACTCTGTCAAGTTTGATGCGGCGGACTTGGCTGACAAAAACACTAGCGAGCACGAAGCCAAACCGCCCCTTGTATCAATTGTACCAACTCCGATTTTGGGGGTCAAGAGTTGGTCATTCCAATATTTTTGTTGTGAGGCTTCTGTCCAAGATTGATGCCCAATCCCGTTCCACCATGAAAGCGTGCCTCGGCTTCAGAGCTTGCTTCCTCTTCTGAAGCCACCTGTAGCTGACCTTGGAACTTGGTGAGAGGGGTTGTTTTTGAGGTGCAGCAAGGTAACATCAGCAGAGGTTATGGCCAAGAACCTTGGCATGAAACAGCATTCTTGAGAATTGTTTACCTGGTCAACCATTCCCCCAACGAAAGTCCAATGCCAAGGAATGTGGTCAAGAACTTGCGGAAGCTCAATGACTCTGAGAATAACTGAGTCTGAATGGTTTTGGGGGGTGCGTTCTGAGTTTCAGAACCGGACAGCTTAGACATGACCTATGTCCATGGCTGGTGCTTTTGGGGTTTGCCAGTGCGCATGCCAGGCTTACACTTGGAAGCGCAATGCAAAAGTTTCCCTTAAAACCTACATGGGGTGACAATGTGGTATTGCCATGTAAAACCTATAGCCATACGGTGTGCCTGCTGGCATGGAACAAAGAGTGAGCCTAGAACATGTGCTTTCCAAAGGCACGTGCAAGCTCCTTGCGTTCTAAAGCTTAGTTGTTGAGCGACAAGTCAAAAAAAAAGATGTCAGAACATATTTGTGGCTTTCACGTGAACAAACTTCTTCATACTTGGAGAGTTCACCCCCATGCGGGGGAGCAGCTGTTGTCGTGGATCGTGTTTGATGCCAGGTCTCGACAACGATCGGGATGAAGTGCTGGCTGGCTACGCAAGACTCATAGCTGAAGGGGCCAGGAGCTGAAGAGTGCGAAGAGCGCCTGTCCTTCCAACAGAGTGCAGCTGCCAACACGAACCACTCCGCGCTGCTTCTGAAGTGTTGTTAGCTCAAAGTAGTGCGAACTGAACTCTTGGTCTGTGCAACTTCTGGTTTGATAATCCTAAAAGGTTGCAATCTTGAACAGCGTGCACTTGTTTCATACTTGTTTCTTAGAGTTCGGATCGATGGAAGATGATGGCCCTTTGACCTGCATCTAGCCTTCCATTAAACAGTGGACGGACGACGTTCGACTACACCAAAGGCTTCTCGTTTGCATCCAGAGTGCTGGCTGCATGGGGATCTCAAAAAATAAACCCTCAAATGCCACCTTCACTCCAGTGCATTCTTCCAACATTGGACATTCAAACAAAACAAACATAATCCAAATGAAACAGGTTGAAGGTCTGGGAACATGCTCAAACCAGGTGCAGGTTCATGCCAGCGCCTCTTGTGGTCGTGTGTGACACCTAATAAGGCCCCAACCATGGACAAACAACGCAGTTTCTTTTGCATGGGGTATCCACGAGACGTGTAGGAGGTGCGGCCGCTGGAAAACCATAATCTCCAAGGATTCCACTCCTCCTTCTTTGGCAGCACAGGCGCCCACCATTGCATAGAGTGGATTCGAAGGCATAGGTCTATACAGGCTATGATTTTGCTGGTTTGTGTTCCAAAAGGCTCAGTTCTACGCACGTCTACGCAGCCAGGTGAGGGGTTTGGTTTTGCTTTGCATCTAAGGAGTTCCCACTGTCCATGGCGATTATGATTATGAGTGAAGATGTTGTGAGAAAACAACCGAAGAATCCATTTGTTTGATCATTGGGTTCCCACACCGGTTTGGGCTCCTGCCTCCTAATTGGTGGCATGTTGCAAAGCCTGGCCTGAAAAAAAAGGTGAAGCGCTGTTCCACAGTGTTTTTTTGCAGCAGTTGTGAGCTTCTTTGTCAAAAGCACTTCACTTCAGGTAACATACTACCTGAAGTTGTTGCATTCTGTTACTATTCTTTGCGCGTCTGAGGCCTCTTGCTCTCACGTCGTCAGGGTGGCCAAGGCAAATGTTCGCCAGAACCCAACAGCCAGCAGGGCTTTGAGAGCCTTCGCGGCAGTTCGAGAAGAAGATGCTGAGCGTGGTGCTCGGCGTGTCTTCGTTGACTATGGCTACGCTGCGCCAATTCACATCTCCACAGTGAATTTAGGTGATGAGAAACACCTCGAGCATTTCCCTTGGATGAGGCTGAGTGATTGGGTGCGATACTTGGCTGACGAAAGCCTGCTTTCTCAACAGCTGGTTGGGGTGCAGCCCAGCAAGTTGAAAGCTGTCCTGGCAGAGTTTTGGAGAAGGTACCGGCACCTAGAGCCTTCTCACCCAGTCTTTCAGCGTGCAGATATCGCCCTGGATCGGCTGATTCCCTACTACACCCACACTGACGAAGGGCGAACAGTTCGAGATAGTGCGTTGTGGATATTGAGTGTCCATGGTGTGATTGGGCGCGGGACTGCTTCTTTTTTGAAGGCAGGGCGCCACAAGGCACCAGTGCACAGGAACTCTTTGGGGCTCAACTATGTTGGCAGCACATGGGGGACGCATTGCTTGATAGCGACGATGATGAAGTCAGTAACTTCACATCCAGGAGCAATGGACAAGCTGCTGCAAGCCTTTGCTGAGGATGCCAAGGCTCTGTACAATGATGGCTTCACCTCGGAGACTGGTGAGCAAATGTGGATGGTGCATTTTGCCTGCAAAGGTGACCTGCCTGCCTTAGCAAAGGTCGCCAATATGACCAGAACCTTCAGTCATGCTCCGAAAGCAATGTCGACCAGAAACCCAAGCCGTGGTGTTTGCTGGCTTTGCTCTGCTGGTCAGGAGCATGATCCCATCACAGGTCGTCAGGCCTACCCGTACGAGGACCTGACCCCAACACCTTGTTGGGAAACTACAATGTTCCAGGAGGCTGCCTGGCAGACTTCACCAACGATCCTTGAAGGTTTGGACCTCAACGAAGCACAGCAAATGGCTTTCTTCCAGACAGACCTCTTTCACAACCTTCATTTGGGGGTTCTCAAGTCCTTCACCTCCAGCGCCATAGTGAGCTTTGTCGAGGCCAGCCCAAGTCTTGAGTGCTTGGCCAGCTTTGGGTCAGTGGAGAGCAAGTTCCAGGAGCTGACAAGATTATACCAAGAGTTTTGTCGCAACAGGAATGTGCGACCCTATTTGTCGGAGTTGTCTCGTGACACGATGTGCTGGCCCATGAGCTCGGCATGTCCAGCAGCAAAGTGGAACAAAGGTCAAGCCACTGCCGAAGTGGCAAGATTTGTGGATTGGTTCTGCAAAGAGTTTGTTTCTGGAAAAGTGGATGATGCCAAGTTGAACTCCATTGCGCCTTGTTGTGCAATTTGCTGTGCAATTGTTTTTGCGTTTTTTTTTGCCACTTGTTTACGTTGCGCCCTGAAGTTCCCAAACTGTGCTTGACTAGTGCCCTGCAGGCAGCGGCGGTCTCAGCCATCAACATTTCGATGACCTTTCTCTACCAGAATGGCCTTTTCATTCGTGCAGCCCATGCAAAGCAGCTTTCACAGTGGCTTTTTGTCTTTCTTGGCCACTATGCATGCTGTGCAGAGATATGCCTGAGAGAGCGCAAGCGTCGCTTTCCACTTTACACAAAGGCCCACATGTTGGCTCACGCCGCTCTTTTGTTGCGTCGCTCTTCTGAGAGAGCGCCCTGGGCGCTGTCGCCGCTGGCGACAGCGTGCCAGATGCAAGAGGATTTCATCGGAAAACCTTCTAAAGTTTCCAGGCGCATCAATGTGCGTCAGGCACACAGGAATATCCTGTGGCGATGCTTGATCAAAACAAAGTTCTCTTTAATCGCTGCTGCGCAAGACATGCGCGGCATGGATGCCTACCCAGGTGCATAAGGTCAATGGTTCACAAGAAGTTTTTTTTAGAAATGTTGCTGCTTGGTTTGCTGCCTTTGGGCTTTGGTGGGTAGGTGTTGTTCCCCAACTTTCCTCCTGGACGGAGGGAATGTTGAAAGATGGCGACAACAAACTAGCAGAAGAAAAGTGGCTTGGGAGAAAGGGACGTATTTTTCAAGCAGGGGCGTGTTTTGCAGTGTGCCCTCTGAAGCATTGCGAAATACAGGCTCTTGAGCAAAAGAGCTACCTTAGCGGTTCAGGGTATTATATATATATAGTTAACCTTCATTCGGCCCGGAAACTGAAGGGGATGGCCTCTTCGTAGATGGGATCATATGGGGCTTGGACTAAGAACCAGCTCTCCACACCCTAGGGCTCCAGGTGCCTCCTCAGAAGGTATTTGGACCCTCTAAACCCACCCCAGTCCCACCTTCTCAGAAGGTATCTGGAGCCTCCCAGGTGCCCACGTCGACCCCACCGGCCAGACGCCCCGTACCGCACCCAGGTGAGGCGCGCCGCTTTGGGCGGCGTCAGCGGTACCTCGATGAACAGCTGGAGCACACGCCGAGCGAGACCAAGAGTGAGAAGAGCGCCTCGGTGCACGGGCCGTGACGTGCGGAGCTGCTTTGGAGGAAGAGATGAAGAGCCATGCGTCTTCCACCAGCACCGAACCCAACAGGTCTCCTTTGGAGGGTTGTTAGGCCCTAACAGGTTTCAGTTGGTGACCTGTTAGGAGGTGCTGGCAGTTGGACGGTTTCTGGGTGCTTTCTCCCAAGCTTGGGACACTTGAAGAACTGCTGGTGCGAGGGATCGGGAGTTGAGACGAGGGAAGACGTTGATGAAGAGAGCAAGAGATCTTTGGGAATGACTCGTAATTCTGGATGTGGGGCACCACCTGTCCATGCCATCCACTGCGGATGATTCCAGGAAGTGGGCCAGGGGCTTTCCCTATATGTGAAGACCTGTTATTTGTTATCCGATCCGTGGAGGTCTGAGCCAATCCCTGGCGATCCGTGGGGATTTGATCGTTCGAAGCCCTGGCCCAACCATCGTCCATGGCTACAAGACGTTTGGTCAACGATTTTGGAAGCACAGAAGGTGGCTACAGGCGCGTGGCAGTGCCTCTGGAGGCACTCGCCTTTTGTTTAAAGGAGGAAACGAACTTCATGGAAGTGGGGATTCGCCGCCTGCTTGTAGAGGTGTGTGGTCATCCGAGGGGCCATGCCATCATCCACTTCCATGACGATCATGATGCATGTGGTACTCTCACCATGACCCGTGAACCCTCCAGCGGTTCTTGTGACAGAAGCTGGCCTCAAGGTGAGCAAAGCTTCGTGACAGAGACTGAGCTTTCGAAGTGCGGAGGGGAAGTTGGGTAGATGGATTGCCCGCAAATCATTTAGCACCTACCCTTCCGGGTATATAGCATATGTTTGGAATACATACATGCCTATACCTCAAACCCCTTTTAACAACCCCTGGCCTGATTGGTAGATATGCCAGTCCCATGGAGTGTGTCAGCATTCACCACAATTCTGAGTGTTCCATTGTTTTATCAAACAGGGCTTGGCGGAGAAACACCCTGAGACTGAGACTCACTCACCCCCACCTGCCCACGCCAGCCGTACAAGTAAAAGATCAAGTTCCTGCAAAAAAGAATGTGTCAGTTTTAAGAGGTTGCATGTTGCGTTTTGCAATCCCAATTTCCTGGTTATGTATAACTGCTGGGTTGGTTTTTGGGTATGTCTAGCAGTTTTGGAAGCCGTTCTGAGCAATCAACCTCAAGCAGACACAAACAGGTGGGAGAAGGCGATGGTTACGGTAGCGGTTAGAGAGGGTCAGAGAGAAACAACAGAAGCCAAAGCACCACCCCGTTCAGTTGGTTGTTACAAACTTCATCAGACTCCCCTGACCACATGTTCCAACCTAGCTGCTCTAGTGCCAACATTGCACCTTTCTCCCCCACCTCAGCCACCTCAGCCCAGGAGACACCGGAGCATACACCATCGCACTCACCACGCGTTTCGCCGATGCCGAGCACCCCGAAAATGCCCACGCCGAGTCCCTACACGGTCGGACCCTGCGTGGAAGGCGCCCGGCCGCCGGCCGCCACGGTGAGAACTCACCGCGGACGACGGTTCGACCGTGCCCGGTCGAGCCGGACGACGGTGCGGACGACGGTGCGTCGACATCGTGGAACAGATCCTGAGCTAATCATAGAGTGCACTACTACCCCTAGGGATCCACATCCCGAACCTCAGAAGGTACGACTGGACCCGACAATGGCGCCTACATAAATAGTCTCCGTCCTCACCGTACCTGAGAAGGACGACTGGATCCCTATGGGCTTAGCACAGAGAAAGAAAAGCGTCTCCCCCCAGCCAAGCTGAGAGGCGGGAGATGGCGGGAGTGTTTGGATCGGAAAGCATCCCGGCTATCCTAGTCACGTTCGACGGAGTGGTGTGACTCGTCCCATCGAGTGGAGTAGCTGGACACCCCGAACAGCAATCTCCGTCCGCACCCCTTCGAGTCCTGTGACTGCTGGAAGTCTTTGGGGAATGAAAGCTTTTGAAGTGTCTAAGGCATACCGGTGAGACGTTCAAGTGAGACGATTTATGGCACCACGGGTCGCCTGTGGTTGTGTGGCCGTGGCCGCATGTGGCCGTGTGAGTCCATTTTCATGAAGCGAATCTCCTCGTCGAACTCGGTGTTTTCAGCGACGAGTTCGCCAGGCGGGTCGATGCTTCTGATTTTGGTTCCTGTGCCAGTCGCTTGGTCGACTGGATGGCTGTTGCGTCGAGTGATGCGGGGTGCCGGGGAGGAACTCCCTAAGGGGCTTCGATTGATAGCCCCAGATGTGAAGGGGTGTCCATGAACTATTTTATATATACTATACCAGGACCCTCCAACATGTCTCCTTTGGTGACTTTTGCAAACTTAAAAAAGTGACGGGTGGAGACCTGTTGGAAGGTGCCGGTATATATAGATTGCTTTTGTTTTGCTGATCTAACACAGGGAATTTGCACATACTGTTTGTTTTTTCTACTTTTGATCCTGAAGACGATCATAGTCTCGCGGGGCATCATTAGTTGCACTCACTTAGGATGAAGATGAAGTGGGGTCACACTTCCGGAGTATGTCTATCCCCAGCTCAGGGCCTCATTGCACCACAAAAAAGACCCCCAGACCACTCCAATGTGGGCAATGTGGCATTCATGGAGTGTTTGGTTTGGGTTTGGTTCTTTTGGTCGACCGAAGACTGCCGTCACGGAGCAGTGGCCTGGGCAGGTCCCGACTGTGGCTTTTGTGGGTCCAGCCATGGCTGGGTTTGAGAGCTCAGAGGGTGGGAGCGAGCCGCGTCGGAGACCGGCGGCCGGGCGGGTGAATGAGGTGCTAGACCGGCCTAGGGCGGGTGTGTCATTTTCAACCTAACCATCATTTTCCTTTGGGACTGCTGGGAATGGGATATAAAGGTAAACCATGGTAAACCCCAAGAGTCAAAGGACGATTAAAACAATACTTTGTTACAAGGAAGACTATTCTGGAAATGGTCGATGGCATGCTATGCACGGTCACTCATAAATGTATGCATGCAACTATTCCATACACGGTTGGGAAACCAGGTCAAGCGGGGGCGGTATTTCAAGGGTTCAATGTATGTAACCCTGTGGGCTTCCAGCTGCCTCAGAAGGTATCTGGAGCCCGGAAGTGCCATGGATGGTTTGGAACGTTCTACCGATCTTTGCGTTCGGAGTGATCTCTTTGTCAGTCGACTAACCACCCCTGCACAATAGTCGCAGGCACCTGCGCAGCCACGACACCCTCCGACACCCTTCGTTCTACACTCCATGGGACTGCCATATTTGCCGATCAGTTGGGGTGGTTTGGGGGTCAATGTAGGCATATATACGGCGTACATGGAGTGTTTGGGCTTGGACAATTGAGTGTGTGAGATCTTCAAACATGGACCCGGGTCGAATGGCACCCTGAAAGATGGGTTTTCCTCTATGCTGCGCCAGTGCTTGTCAGGGTCCATGTGAGTGTTCCACGGGGAAAAATAAAGTGCCTCCGGGGATTCCACTCTTCGCCGACGAGAGGAGTCCAATTCCCATGGATTTGCTGGTTCTTACAGCAGGATTCCATGGGTTTTACTGATCGATGTTGGACTATAAAAACAGGTCTTGGAAGGGACCTGCTGAGGACCTGCTCAGCAATCTGCACGAAAGCTATGGCCCACGTGGCCCCTTTTGGCGCGCCACGCGTCACGCGTTGGATCTCCGGCGATGAAGCGGGCGCGCCAACTGGCGCTTTCACATGCCGTATGTCCTGCGCTCAGGATCCCAGCGAGAGCGTCGTGAGGAGAGCGGGCGGAACTTCTTCATGGGGAAGAGACGGGCGGAACTTTCAGCGATGGCCTCGAACCTTAAGGCCCTAAGGGGTGGGCCAAGAGTCATACAGTGTTTAGTTTCCTCCAGTGAGTGGAGGTAGTCTCCTGCACCCCGACGACCTCCATGAATTAAGCACCCCGGTTGACTGTGACTGGGACAAAGACCTGTAATACACCTAATGAGTGATGACCTCCAACCTAATTCCCCAGGGCTCCTGGCCCACCTCCTGAGGTGACCGGTGGGCCAGGGGTGGGTGCCAGGGGGGTCTAACCACCGAACCTAAGGATGTGGGCCAGGAGCCCTAGGGATTAATCGCAGTGGGCCTGCCGGCGGGTTCGCACGCCGTGGGCACCATGAGTGACTCGAACGCACCAGTGACGGAGCACGAGCTCGACACGTTGCCTGAGAGACCCGAGCTCGACACGCAGCTCGACACCTTCTCAGACCATCCATGTGTATACATTGGGTCTGTCCAAGCTGACTTGTAACAGTCAGGTTTGGCGCAAATCACGATGTTTCAACAAGGCCCACAACTGAACCATCATCATCCACTGGGCTTTGGTAACAGGATGGGCCCAATGTATGGAATAGTTGCATACATTGCATACGTATTATATTAAATATATTTAAATATATCGTCATTTATGAGCCTATAATGTAAGAAACTTTTCCATCTATGGAGTGCGGCCTTTGCCCTACCTGATCTTGGTCGTGAGATGCGATGCATTCGGCATTCGGCCCAAACGGGCTCCAGTCGCACCGAACCTGAGAAGGTGGGACGACCAGGGGCCCGGGTGCCAGGGAGGTACGTCCAGTCATACCGAACCGTTTAGGAGGTACGGCTGGAGCTGTAGGGATGGGGAGTTCTGTTCAAAATGAGAACATCTCTTCTCAAGGAATGAAGAAAGGCGTTAAACAAGGAACAGATCTCATTTTCCCATCCACGCATCCTTTGCTCCAGCATTTGCAGCTGTTTCAGAATAGATGGCGCAAACCATCACAACCCCCTATATATTAACAGGAATGTTAAACAAAAAAAGGTAATACACCACCAAACTTGGGGTGCCCTTGTGCTATCTACTCTCCATTCACTGGATCCATTTTTCCTTGCCTTGAGCATCTCCTCGTGGCCGCGATGTGGCGCCTCGCCGCCATCCTGGGCTATTTCCTCTGGCGCCCTGCGACGGGCGACTTCATTTGCCCGGGGAAGGCAACGGTGGACGACGTGTGGCATGAGGAAGACTTTACTGGCAAGTCGCTGGGCGATTGACGTGTCGCCCTCGCCCTCCTTCTCGGCTCGGCTTCGCACGACGACAAGCGTCAGTAGCTGTGCCCGGAGAAAGCGGTTTTGATCTTCAGGTTCGGCACCCCATGGATGAACCAATTGCAGCAGATGTTGTGGTTTCGTCATGAGTTCCACAGTTACAGTGGTTTTTGGAGGTTCGATGGCACGTGCAGGGCCCCCGCAAGTTCGGTGCATTCCATGAACCCCCTGACGGTTTCAGGACATATTCGTGGCATCGAACCTCTGACTCCAGTCGTACCTCCGAAATGAAGGTATGACTGGACCCTTTGAGCACCCACAGCCCCACCACCGAACCTCACAATGGAGCCAGTAATGGAGCCCTAGGGCTACTGATTCAATCAGACCACGACCAGGATGGTAGAGCCATCATCCCAACAGTGGATGATGGTTAGCAGCTAGCCCTTTCTGGATCCCTACCAGGGCCGAAAAAGAGATTCGGGATGTCCATGAACCATCCCAACCAGCCTGGTTTAGGCCTACACCCTACACCTCCAGTCTGACCTCCTAAACGGTGTTCGGTATGACTGGACGTACCTCCCTGGCACCCGAACCCCCGGTCGTCCCACCTTCTCCTCAGTGTTCGGTACGACGGGATAGGCTCAATGTGACTCCTGGTACCTTGGGATCATTTGCGTGGGGTAACATGAAGTGCTAGGGCGTCTTTGGAGCCCTTCTCAGAAGGTACTTAGACCATCCTGGCACCTGAAAGCAACCTTTGTGTGGTTTTTTCAACGTTCGACTTGCCCAGGCGAGTGCTAGTCACTGGCGGCGACAGTGGCTTGGGTTTCGCCATCGCCCGCGCCTTCGCTGCACGCCACGCGCAGGCGGGACCGGTGCAGTTGAACCTGGGGGCGGGACGATCCAGATTGGACGGCAAATGCCAGGACCTCACCCAGGAGGTGTTGGCAAACATTTGATGCAAAACTCGCAACTCTAAGAAATCCACGGTGGCAGTGGTTCTTAGACACCCTGAATCACCTCTAAGAGGCTATTTATAGACACCTCTTGAAGGGTCCTGATATATAGAGGTTAGTTAGCTCTTATGAAGGAAATTCCCTTGAACAATATTATGGAATTTCATGTTCATTGGTTCTGGCTTTCTTCCTCTAGGTCACAGTGGCTCGCCTGAGATTTCTTGGGCCCTTTCTTGGATCTGGGCCCCCTGCTCTTGGCCTGTGGAAGCGTCTGTAAGGTTGGAACACAAGACCCTGAACTTGGACGACAGGTTTATTGTAGAGCTTCGCAGACCGGCCATGCTGGTTGGGCACGTGTTCGCATGCGTCCCGCGCGTGCACAAGCAACAAGACCTCGTATCAAACAAATTTGAGGCGTGCACAAGCAACAAGACACCAGGCAAAATCCCTCAGGCTGGTGGTGGAGAGGCCTTGTTTAAATGACCAAAAAGATTGAAAACCCTGTAACAGTATAAATTTCCAATTTTTTTGTTGCTCGAGGCTTCAAAAGTGCTCCAAAGCCACGATATTTGCACAGTTGTTTTGTGCTTTTACGCCAGGAAACCACGTATAGATACCGACGGTCGCCGATGGTTTTGAGCCACGGTGTTTACGAGGTTTTCTCGAACAAAAACACGATATTTTCAGCATTTTGCGCACCACGCCCCAAAACACGTCGATATTTACGCAGTTTTTGCAACGCTGCGATATGTTTTTCCTTAGATCAACATTTGTGAAAACACTGTAACTTACAGTGTTTCGCACCTTGGCGCAAATCGAAAAAAACAGCTTCAGAGCTGTCCCTGTAAGGCCCAAATCCAGCTCCTTTCCAGATCCCAATTTTTTTGTCCAACTTGCCTGCTTTGTTGATGATTTTTTCGATTGCCCTGGCTCTACCCCACCAGGATCCAGGATTTTGCTACATTTCTCCTTTTGTCGTTTTTGGAATCGCTCCGAGGGCAAAAACGGCTCGAAATGCAGGCGAGAGCGCCACTTTTTGAGCTCGATTTGACAAAGCACCATAAGGGGCGGGTCGCCGGCATCGGGAGCACCCCCCCCCGTAGCTAAAGCTAGCAGCGATAAGCTACACCATACGGCATCGCTGGATTTAGGGGGCTCACGCCCGCGGCCGACCCGGGTCGGCGAGCCGCGGACCCAGGAAGCAACATCAACCCAATAGACTCTAGACCACACTATTTCTCAGGACAGGACACCCTGACAGGATGGTCTATAGGTCTAGTCTACGCACCTCCGTGCCAGGTGGTCATCGCGAATCACAATGCGACCGCCGGGCGCTTAGCAGCTCGGAACCTTGAGCTGACCAGAGCGCGGTCGTTTGGGACCACAAGGGACCGGTACGTTTCTCCTGTTTTTGGTATGATATGTGTTTGGGGGACCCCGGAGTGAGGTGATTTGTCGTTTTTAAAAGGATTTGTGATACCCAGACACGACTATATATGCCGATCAATTGACCCCTCAAAAATTGACCCCTCAAACCACCCCAACGTAGGCCAATATGGCAGTCCCATGGTGTGTTTGTGATAGATTTTGACTTCGGAAAATAGTGAGATGGGGCTGTTTCTCCACGATCTTTTGTTTGCTCCAGCGTCTCAAGCAGTTCGTCACGTTGGAGAAGAGGAGCAAAGGCGGCGATGACCCAATAATCGAGTTGCAGAACTGAACGCACCAATGTCCCTCAACCCTCCAAGGGGTGTCCAATGGACTACCCCTCACTACCTGTACGCTTCCATTGGGCACCCCTTGGAGGGTCCTGGTCGACACTATTGATTCATTCATACAGTGGCCTGAATCCCAAGCAACCATTGCTTCACAAACTGAACTATTTTTCCATGCTCGAACGGAAGCCCAGCAAGGGTCCAATCAGTCATTCGTCACAGTGACTGGGGCCTGGGGTGACCGACGGCGATCTCGCGCGATAGACCTGCAGCGCCTCACAGGAACTTGACCCGACTCACCGGGGTCCAGGTGGACTCGTTGCCATTGAATCTGGGGCCACTCGGAACGACGGCGCGATCCGGTGCGAGCGATCCGGTGCGATCCGGTGGAAAACCACACCCAACGTCTGCTCCGTACACGTAGCCACTCTTGAGGTATAACATTAGCTCCCCCATGCTCCCCCCAATTTGTATTGAACATCCTCTTACATATATTGATCAGATTTATTCATCAAGAGTCTACATGAATCATTGCCTCAACTCTGCGACCCTGTCCGAGGTCGCCGCCTTTTCACGAAAGGTAGCGGTTACGCTACCTGAGTTTTCCTTTTGCTTTAGCAAAAATGTATTAACCCAGAGCTGCAGCCTATCTCTCGGAGAAATGGTCCCCGACATCTTCGTTTGCTGGGCGGGGGGGGGGGGCCCCCCCCCCCCTTTCAACTCCACCCTAGCGCGCCTCAGGGTCAACCGTTCGAAAACACTGTAAATATCAGTGTTTTCAGCTCTTCCAGTCCTCAGCAGTGACAAAAAATCATGGAATTTACAGCGTTTTTTGTGGCTGTCCGGCAAAAAACACCGCAAAAACCGATGGTTTTTGATGCGTCTCGGTTAGACAAATGACCGAAAAAAGACCAAAAGCCAGGAAAGATTTTGTCAGAAAGGGTTTTTGAGGCTTTTGGAGGCTTCAAAATTGCACAAAACTATGGTATTTACAGGGTTTTGTGCACCTTCCCGGCAGAAAACGCCGGTATTTACATGGTTTTCTGCGCTTTTCCAGCGCTCAACCGTGGTGCGCCTTAGGATCGACGGCTACAAAATACCGTAAATACCAGTGTTTTCAGCTCCTTCTGTCTTCAAGCGTGGCCTTAGACCTTGCCGCGGCTGTGGATCGACGGCAACGAAACCTCGTAAATACCAGTGTTTTTGAGCACGTCCTGTTTGCAAGCATGGCCTGCGGCCACGCAATTTACAGGGTCGCCGCACGTCACTATGTAAATCCGAAGTTGCACTTGAGAAATATGTGACTCCTTTTGAAGGCACGTCAACCTGTATTGAAACCGCTAGACCGCTACAGCTTCTGGAGGTTTTGTCAAGCGTTTGTGCATTAGTCTTTCTTTCATCACGCTCACTCACTTCTCTTCAAACAAGTGGGGGGCCTCTCACCTCCTCCCGGATTACGCCTGATTCCCTGCTACCTTTCGTTCACCCCCCTCCTCTCTCAAGTGTTCGAGGTGACATGAACCATTTGTCCGGCGCCGAGGATTCGATATATGATAAAACCATGACCCGAAGACTCCATGTATGGTGTACTGTATATACATAGAGTATACCAGGACCCTCCAAGGGGTGTCTATGTATAGCCCCTTAGCTGTTAAGGGGTCTCCATTAACCACGCCTTGGGGTCCTGGTAGCAACTCTTTCAGGTATGTAACATATTGATACATAATTAATAATGTAGCATACCAGCACCACCCAGTTCGGGTGGTTGATAGACCCCTCTGAAGATGTATTTTCCATCTATTATAATCCCCTTGGGTAGTGCTGGATGTACGGAATAGTTACTTTTTACCTTCTGAGGAGGTACTTGGAGGTGTAGGGTGTGTGTGTGTATATATATATATATGCCAGTCCCGGTTTCAGTGACAAGGCAGCGCCTCCCAGGTCACTGCAGGCGGTGCGAGAGATGGTCGAGCTGTTCTACCAGAAGTATGGGAAGACCCTGCACTACCTGCCGCCAGTCCTGGCAGTTTACAGCCGAAAGACTCGGGCCCTCTCAGCGCGACAGTGTTCGAACTACCAGGGCCCCTAAGGGGTTGGTTAATGCAGACCCCTTAACCTAAGGAGCCATAATTCGACACCCCGAAATCAGGGGGCCCTGGAAAAACCATAGAAAAAGGCGCATCACACGGGTCCGGTCCCTAGGGCTCCAACCACCTCCTCAGAAGGTGGTTGGGGTGGGTTCTGGGGGTCTAACCACCTTCTAAGGATATGGTTGGAGCCCTAGGGAATAATTTAAGTCAAAGGACCATATGTGAAGTAAAGGACACTGGCACAGGGCGGGCTGCTTGCAGTCGCCTAGGACTCCTGATGCAACGGCCGTGACTGGCTCGCATTCTTTAGCTGGGTCGACCACGGGACTTATCCCCGTTGTTTTATTTAATCCCTAGGGCTCCAACCACATCCTCAGAAGGTGGTTAGACCCCCCAAACCCACCCCAACCATCTTCTCAGGAGGTGGTTGGAGCCCTAGGGAATATATAAATATAACAAGGCTGGATGTGAAAGCTATGACCATCTATGACTGCAAAGGTGTGTACAGTAAATCTATTGGCGATGTTCGTGCCATATTCCCCAACCACCAAATTCCTGTCGCATTGCTGCTCGCTTCATCGACCTCTTCAGCAGATGAAACTCTACTTGCGCCGCTTGCGCCACCGGCTTCCGACACCTGGCTCCCCGGCTACCTCCCCGCGGACGGGCGAGGATCAATGACGCGGGCATCGTAGGGCCAAGCGAGTGGACGGCCGATGGCTTCGAACTGGTCTTTCAGGCGCCGGGCCGCGCTCCCACGAGCGGAACGTGCGAGACTGGGAGCCAGCGCCAGGAACGTGCGGAGGCCCAAGAACAAATACCCAGACACGACCTATGGGACTGCCATATATGCCTACATTGGGGTTTGAGGGGTCTGTCTGGGGCGGCAGTCCTATGGCAGTCCCAGACAGGTCGTGTCTGGGATAGGTTTGAGCCCCACACCTCACACCAATACAAAACACGGCTCCACTGAGGAGGGGAGAGGTGGGCGGATTCTGGTTCGAGGTCGGCTGTCGCCCGGGTCCCCAGGGTGAGCCACCAGGGTGAGCCGCTGTCGACATGTGCGGCACACATGCGGGTTCTTTAGAAAATCACCATAACTGAAACATGGCCCTAGGCCTCCAAGTACCTTCTGAGAAGGTGGGACTGGTGGGTGCCAGGGGGGTCCAAATATCTTCTCAGGAGGTACTTGGAGTGTAGGGATGGTGTGAGTTTGGTCCCTTTTTAGGCATTTAGATGGATTTCGTCGTCCCGAACCTCAGGTTCGCTACGAAAACGGACCCGACCCTGGCACCTACACCAACCTGAGGTACGGCACTCGGATCCCTAGGGGTCCGGTGAATCGGTAGAACCGGACGAAGCTTGGAAGAGGTAGCTGGACTTCTTCCGAAGCCTTCATGGCCAGTGGTGGCCAGGAACCACGAAGCTGCAGTCGGACACCAAGCTCACAATCCATCGACCACTGACGCCGTTTTTTGCAGCATTTGAAGAACCGATTCCCGTCGGGATCGGCGACGATTCCCGTCGGGATGGTTTTTGGCCGCGTCGATCGAGCACGCCATCGACCACGAGATGTGATCGACCACGGGATGTTTTGGGGCTCGAGGTGTTGCTGTGAAGGTCCCGGAGTCCTGTGGAAGGTGGGTTTTTCCCGGTTGCTCCTGGACTATCCGTGTATGGTTACAAATGGATAAATGTAACTGTTCTATACCAGGACCCTCCCTGCCAGGTCTCCGAAATGGTGGCTTTTGGGTGGTGACCTGTTGGAGGGTGCCGGTAGATGGTTTTGGCCTCGGCAGCACATCCAAGTGAAAACAGGTGGACTTTTTGGGCCACTTCCTCTTGACCGAGCTCCTTTTGCCTGCGCTTCGGGCCGGCGCGCCGGCGCGCGTGGTCATGGTCTCCAGTGGGGCACACGCATCGGCTTGCGTGACGGCCGGTTGGCCGGAGGATTGCTGCTTGACTCACGGCCTGAAAGCCCTACTCAAGAGTGAAGCAATGACCTCCTGGAAGGAAGACATGTTGCACAACCTGAAAGTACAGTATTGTCATGGTATTGTCTTGTTGTTACATAGTATACTGCTCTATTGATGCTCAATACGTGTCAAGCAAGCTTCATCACCGTTGCTTTGGGTGATCACAAGACTTGGCTGACGCCTGCATCTCACCAATCCGGAGGGCAACTTCAGATCCAAGTAGAACTTGAGTCTCCCTAGGGATCCAAGTACCTTCTCAGAAGTTGATTGGAGGCACTGTTATGATACTCGTAACTTATGTAGGTTTGGAGGGTCTTGTTGATTCCTTACGGAGGTTCGGCCCAGTCAGCCCGGTCAGCCCGTTGCTGTGAAACTGCACAAAGATCGTCCCAAACATAGAGCACATCCTGGAGCCCCTCTGGGGCGTACCACTCCTCCAGTCGGCAGAGCTGGATGTGCTTCCACCTACCTAGGCTTCAAGGACTTCACCTACCTTCCACCACCGGTGGTGCCCCCGCACGAGATCACGGTGAACACCAGCCATGGACACTTGGCTTCCGCTCCCGGCCCTGTTCGCTTCACAGCGATGCCGGACGGGTCCAGGCACGGCTTGGATGGGCCTCCGGATGGGTCTCCGACAGCGGTAGAAGTGCGAGGATGTTCAACGCGGAAGTGGGAAGGGGGGATGGAAGAAACAAACCCAGACACTCCAAGTATGGGAATATGCCCGAACTTGAGATCCCAGGATTTTCGGTCACCAACAGGCCTGTTGAGACGGTAACTTGGAGGACTCCAGATGAGGTTTCTGTCCCGCGTCGCGACGCCGATCGACCGGGACCGACCAGATCGACGCGGGACTGAGGACCAGCGAAGAGGAATTCCTCGACCTATGGGGTGGCCAAGTGACTTGACACGATGGCCAGCGCTATAGCAGAGAGCCGGAAGAACGAGCCACCAGGAGGCTCAAATCGCTTGGGACCTTGTCTGACCATCTTAAGACCCTTCATCAGCCACCACGACCTTGTGAAACACATGCTGGGAGAGGGGGTGACACTGGACACTGGACTGGTCACCAGGAAACACCTGTCGGAAAGTCTAACCAGAGAATTTGGATCCATTTTCCATAGGGCTCCTGGCCGGGGTGGGTGCCAGGGGAGTCGAATACCACCTGAAGAGATGGGGCGTTCGGAGCCCTAGGGTTTATTCACCGAAGGTGGTTGGACCCCTCAACCTGTCAAGAGGTCAGCCATTCATCCCACACATGGGGGCTTACTGGGTGGGCGCCATCACCAACAACGTGAACTTCCGACACCGCAAGGACCATGACATGCTGTAGACCATCCATTGGACTGGCATAGTTACTGATCAGTTGGGTTTGTTTCAGGGTGAATGTAGGCATATATGCCAGTCCCATGGAGTGTTTGTGGTTTTGCTTAGAATGTGTTGTTTCTTTTCCCGGTTCCTGGGTGAATGCTGCGAAACTTTCGGCAAAGGGTGATGCATGTTCCTAAAAGTGTGCCACAGAGGGGTTGAAGGATATGGACTTTGTGTATACCTTGCCTAGCCTTCCAAGACTGACCATGTTTCAGATGTTTGTGTCCTGATGCTGTAGATTAACTTCCTTAATGAGACATATAGTAATACTAATGGTTGTTTGGTAAAGACCCTTGTATATGATCAACGGTTAGTTATCAAATCAATGGATTGTTTATGAAGAGGTGGAAGGGATCAATACAACCAATGGTTGTTTGGTACAGAGGCCAGGAAGCCCAGAGCCGAGGGTTAGGGACCCCGGCCGACGGGCGAAGGCGCCCTAGGTCAGTATGCTTCTGCTGGAGGGCCCTGCTCAATCCTCCTCCTCCTCCTCCTCAGCAGCAGCAGCAGCATACCTTTTAGATTCCAACATCAAGCAGATGAGCTGGCTGTCGATTGGGGGAACCGTTTCAAACAAGAAAACAAGAAGTATTTGAGCCATGGACATCATCCAATTTGTTCCGTCTCAATGTTTGCGGACAAATTTAGGAATTTTGTCAGTCATGGGTGTTGTTTGTCTATCCAAGACTGTTTGTACCCCTTCCTTTTCCCAATAGGGGGAAAAAGGGGTAAGTTCAGTGGCTCGACATGTCGGCAAGTCGTACTGAGGGACTTTGGCAGATGAACCTGTTCTTTTTCAAGGGGTTGCGATGACTTACCCACCTTTTTGGGGTGGCTGGATAGGTGAACCATTCTTTTAATGGTCTTTGAAGGCACACGGGCATGCAGGTCAACATGGAACCACTGGTGCAGCGAGGTTCACCCTTTTTTTCAAAAGGTCGGGGTTCCATGATGTTCCATGTGGGCCTGACCCGAGTGGAGCTTCCGCACGTCATTCCGCTCGTGGAGTCAGACCGCTCGTTCCGCTGCTGGTCGGCGGGTCCGTCCTTTAAGATGGCATCAGCGGGACCTCCCATTTCGGACGGAGGACGACCAGTCAGGGCTAAGGGGTTCAACGCTTCAGTTCCAATTACACCCAGACACCCAGACACTCATGGGACTGCCGTATATGTACATCGGGGTGGTTTTGGGGGTTGGCATACATGGCGTGTCTGGGTATACACCTATATGGCTGTGGGTCATGGCTCTCACGGGTCGAGTCGAAGACGGCCTATTCGGCGCGTTTGGGTTTGGTCCATTCGGTTCGTTTGATCAACCAAGGGTCTCCCGGTGCGGCGTCCATCCCATCATGTACCATATTCCCTATGGGCTCCTGGCCAATATCCGGAGGTTCGGTGGTATTTTTATCCACCAAACCTCAGGAGGTGGGCCAGGAGCCCTAGGGATTTACCGCATTGGTGGCCTCCCAGCCGGCCCCTCGGATTCGTCAGGTTTCTGAATGCACAGCACGCGGCGGCCCTGGCGCGACGTGAGGCAGCGCATGGCCACTGGGCTGTGAGGACTCCGATGGTGTCGGGTCCGGCATGGAGAGCCATTTCGGATTCTTAGGGCAAGAGCAATTTTTCAGCTCGGTGGACCTGAGCTGCTTTCAAGCAGATGGATTTCCCCAGTCAGGAACAGGTGGAGAAAGGTTGATGTAGAATCAGTAAACCCCACGGATGAAAAGGTTTTACCATTCAAGTGGGGGTGATCCATAAATATGTGACATGTTATACTAATTTGAACACCAGGTACTGGTATTTCAGGAAATTCATGTTTTTTGTTGATTTCCTGAAGGCCCATATAATTGCCTCCGTTGCCAGCATTCTACTCAAAGAAAGATGTTTTTGGTCGCAAAAATGCCACTGTTTTGCACGCACGACACTTTGTGAGTGGGTGGGGCTCGGGGTGCAAGAGTGCCATCTACAGGATCATCCGTGCCTGAGAAGATCCGACCTAAGTGCTGACTGGTGATACTGGTGCTTGAGTGACTTTAGTGAGTGATCTTTGTGACTGGGATCCACATAGCTTCGAAAGAAGGTTGACCCTCCTGGCACCTATAGCTCCAGTGTTTGAGGATGGTTACGAATGGAGGTGAGGTCTCATATCTTCCATGGTCGACTGGGAGACGCCGGATGGTCCTGTTCAGTTCACCTACGTCAGTGGAATCCAGGCAAGTTCTGAAAGGGTCAGCCTCTTCTGAAAGGAATCAAATAATATCAAATAATCAACAGAGCAAACATATGCACAATTCCTAAAGTTGTTCGATACAGGGTGCGGGGTCTATTCTTGGGAGGGTTGTACATAGGATGTCTTCCATTCTTATAATTTTAAGCCTGCATTAACATATTGAACTTAACCATGCATTTTGCATGTTTTTGTTTCACAACACATTGTGTCCGCCCGACGACGTTCAAGGCATTGAGACCTGTTCGCTGTCACCGGGCTTTGTGCTGACGCCCATGACCGAGCGCTTCATTAACAGCTCAGGGCCCACTGGTGCCAAAGAGATTTGCAGAGAACAGCAGCTTGGGCATGGTCACCCCGACGCCGGAGCCTCCGTTCAGTACCGTCCGGACACGGTCCATCCACTGGAGGGGTCCGGACCCTCAAAAAGAAAAACAAGGAGCAACTGAGAAATTAAAGAAGGCTGACATAGGCTGTGCGGAGTGTCGTACAATATCTACTAGTGCACTGATATCCGGAATTCCAGAGATGGGACTTGGGATTGGTCGGAGTCGTGGTCTTTCAAGTCAGCGCTATTTTTGGAGGAGGTTTTGATCGGTTTGTTGGCATATATATGGCATACATGGAGTGTTTGGGTTTGGTGGTTTTTTGGGCAATTCATCGGCTTTGTCCACCCCGACTCCGGACACCTGTCTTTTCGCGTGCTGAGCGAGGATCCATCCAGGTCCAGGACTTCCAGCGAATCCGTGTCCCTTCACGCCGGAGGAAGGCCGGGCCTTCCTTCGTTTCGGCGTTGTTTTTTGGGAGAGAAGCGCGGACAGCTGGACTGACCGAAGAGTTGTTTGTGGCGGAAGGAGTCTATCCTGGATACCAAGTTAACTGTAACCAAACGGAACAAACTATAGGCAAGTTGGGAAAGTTGTGTCCTAATGACCTTTTGAATGTCGGTTGTTTTTGGGTAGCTTAACGTTGTTTTAGGGCGGCGTTTTGGAAACAAGACCATCCATGGGCTTCACACTGGTCAGGTCGACTCGTGTTGCTAGCTGCTTCTGCTCATTTCCAGCTTCAATGTTTGGGCCAAGACGTCCCAGACGACCCTTTGTTTGGGGGGACAATGTTGACATGAAGGGAGGTGAGGTTGATGATGTAGCCCTACAAATCAGTTTGACCCAGGTCCAAACCTAGCCTTTTACCTCCTTCGGTAGTGTTTTTGTATGACCAACTCTAGTACAATGAGGATGCTCCGCGGTAGGGGAACCTAGGGGAGGTTTGTTTGTCCCATGGAGTGGAATGGGAAGTTGGTTTTCTTCATGTGTCTGTCCGTTTTTGATCTTCACGCCAACTCGGTTTTTTTCCAGGTTGCCCCATGGAGTCTTCAAAAACCCGTTTTTGGGGGGGCCGCAGGTGCCGCCGTCATCGCTTATTGCGCGACCGGGCGCATTAGGAGTGACTTGGCCAACACGGAACGGCCATGGATCATACCTACCAGTACGGACAGAAGGTCTTGGTGCTGCAAGGCACTGGTCCCCAAAGAGTTGTTAGGCCTGTTGGAGGTCTCAATCGGTGACCTGTGAAGTCGGGTGCTGCTATAGATCATGATTTTCCCAATGCAAAATGGTTAGCCGACCTTGGCTAGTTTCGATCATTCCAGAGAAGAGCTGCAGACGACGGGGGATCTGACCTCCGATGGTCCCAGGTGTCCGCCGAAAAAGGTCAGAACACACACGGAGCACTTGATTTCGGGGGGAAACATGAAGGGTCAGGGTCAGGAAGGAGAGAGGGAGTGGGATGGAGTGGGAAGGGGACCACATATACACGAATGATTGCCTAACTATAACCAGCACCACGGATTCCGGGTGTCCATGAAAAAAGCCCCTTAGAGGTCAGTCGGGGTGTCCATTCACCACCCCGACAGTGGGTTCAGGAATATCTAACAATCCATGTCATGTACCCTAGGGCTCCAACCATATCCTCAGAAGGTGGTTAGACCCCCCTAGCACCCACCCCAACCACCGGTCACCTCAGGAGGTGGGCCAGGAGCCCTAGGGGTAATATATGGAATATGTGCCGATCCATTGGGTGTTCAGATGCTTTGGGGGGGTCAATCGGTCAATCCATTTGCCTCCATTTCGGGGATCCCTTTGCCCAAGGCGTGGAAGGCATGTTTTTCGACCAGGCCCATTTATCCAAACCCGGGATCTGAACACTAACAACCAAAGTTGGAGTACCGAGGTGGTGCCTACTACGCGCGGAGCTATGCCTGTGAGGAGCAGCTGGTGAAAGAACAGGGCTTCACGGAGCAGATGCAGGAAGCACTTTATGAGTCGCTTCATCTGGTCCGAAGTCGAAGTTCGAGCGATTCAGATTGTTGTACCTGGAGTCTCAAAGTATACCTTAGAAAATGGGACATGACCCGAACAAAAAACGGGTTCGTGTACCCATGAGAGTCCAGGTACCAACTAGGAGTCCAGGTGTGTGGTTTCATGCGGATTCAGGCGAGAAAGAAGGGTTTGTGAACTAGCGAGGCATGGGAGACTGGACGTTTCTTCGACCTTCGGTGATTGGTGGGGTCCGATCCCCGAAGTTCGTGGAGCATGCGTTGGGTTGGTCCCGTCTTGGAGCATGCGGAGCTCGAAGTCTTCGGGTGAGTTCAGTTTAGCTCTCCAGCTTCGGAGACCTAGACTTCCAAGACCATTTAAACAATGGTTGACCTGGTTTTTGTAGTGTAAAATCCTTAGTTGATTTGGTAAAACCTATTAAATTAATGGTTGTTGGAAGCCTAGGGAGGCCCGGTTTGTTGTTGATCAGGTGATTTGTCCGGTTTCTGACACTCTGACGAACACTGGATGGCATGGCCCCTGTGAAGACCAATGAAATCTGAATATACCAAACAGGTGGTGGTTGTCCATTTTTCATGTGAGGTGATTTGTCAGGTTCCTTATCTCAGAAGGTCTACTTGGATGGTTGAGGGGAGGGCTTCGATTCCAACAACGTGTTGGACCACCAACATCCCGTCCGTTCGTCAAACAGCGCGGATCTCAGGAAAGCATTGGCTTGGGTTGGGGCTGCAGAGGTCTCCAACGTGATTCTTTGAGTTGTGAAACCGTGACCGAAATCGCAGTGAAACAGCAGTGCTAGCGCGGTGGGAGCCTGGACTTCAGCACCATCCATGACCCGACTTCAAGTACACCTACCATTCACCTATACCGATACCCAAAAAAGTTGATGGATCACCTGCAGGTCACCTGGGATTGGGGGGAAGATGGGGACACCCCCACGACGTACGTGGGCATCCAGTAGTCACTATAGCTGGTCAAAGACCAAAACCACAGACCTATCGAATCCCTGGTTCCTTACTACTAGTGGGAACTGCCTGGGATGCACTGGGGTAGCAAAAAAATATCTGTGGGGCATTCTCTTTCGCCGTTCCGGCGGCCTGAGTCAACACGTTGAGCGTGTGGTTTCTTCGCCACCGCGAATGGGTGTTCAGTTGGCGTGTGGGTGATCTAGAGTGGAAACAACGTGAAGGCGAAGCGACGAACTCCAGCACCTTCATGTCGGGGTCACCTGGCTGGAAGCCCCTACACCACTAAGGGACCTCCAGACAGGACACCCCTTGAAGGTCCAGGTTCGCTTGAGAGGTTGTTGAACAGATGGACAGCTCGGACGTTAGTGGGACTGGAAGGCCCGGTTCGACTGGATGCAGTACCTGGACCGTACGACTGTACCATACCATTTTTGGAGGTACGAGTTCCAGGTCGACTCCAGCTACCGAACCTGAGAAGGTGTTACTATGTGTTACTGGAGCCCTTGGTCGTTTCGGTCTGTCTTGATTCAGTGCTTGGGACTTCATCACCTGACGTGGCATGTCCACACCTCGACACCTCGACACTCGGGACTCGCCATCGACCCCAAATCAAGAACTACCCCGGTGCGCCATTGGAAAGAAGTCGTGGCCCGGGAAGGGTTTGTATTGTTTTATATTTGATTTCCGTTCGCCCAAGTCGTGGCCAACGAAAAACAGAGCGAAGACATGGTCCGGAAAAAGGATGTGTGAGGATGTGTGAGCGACGAGTTTTGTTTGCAGGCTCTTGCCGCGGGGCTGGTGATTTCATTGTTTTTATCTGTGAACAAGCAATACCTTATTCACACTTTTTAGACTCAACGATTTCAACTGAACTTGTTTAATGGTCCTTGAGGGCGTTCCTTTGGGTGTTCCTTTGGGGCTTGCACCTCTACCAAGGCTTGGCCCCCAAAGAGAGATGTTCACGTCACATCACGAGACATTGAAAGGTTGTTACAAGTCGCATCACGAAAGCTGCCGCGCGCTGGCTCACCCAGACGGTCAGGGGCCCTCATATGGAGGGGTCGGACCCGAATCCTTTGGAGGGGTCTGGGGTCTCAAACCCCTAGGTTTTGAGGGACCAAGGGCTGTGAACGGAGCGTCTGGCTCAGTTCTTCTTTGCTATAAAGCAATCTTGTGTGGGGATGAGGTTCATGCCTTGGGCCCAAGGATTCTTAGGGTATAGTGCCTCAGCACTCCATGCTGTGGCATATTAATATAAATACTGGGCTTTGAGGCGCTGAGGTGGTTTCAGGGGTCCATACCTGCTATAGGGTCTACTATGACTCTTCGAACTTTGGCAGGACTTCGCTGGATCTGGTGAGTGCTGCTACAGCTCGTGCAAGCTTGCAGCGCCGAAGTCGTTCCACCGCGCGGGGATCTCCGCGTCGCGGCGACCGCGCGTCCAGCTGTGTTTGAAAGCCCGAGTGGAGATGCGTACAGAACAAGGACAACTGCCTACAGAACCAGTGCGTGGATCACCTGCAGGACACCAAATTGAACAACCGAAAGTTCGGTGAACCGCCCCAAAGGCGAAAGAGGGGCCGAGATTCCTCCGGAGAGAGGACGGGACATGCTTCGTCGGACGGGACGTTGACATGTATGGCGGTTTAAGGTGAAGGACACTTGAAAGAACACCCGGTGAATACAAGCTAATTACATCCAACTACTGCAGTTTTCGGAGTTGATCGAGCATGCGTTCCATGTTTTGTGCTCCAAAACAGGGGGTAAATGGGACGATGTTGATGATTAACCAAGAGCTGAGAGACAAAAAACATAAAATTCTCTTCACGCGGGCTGGAGACTCAGTTTGACATTCCGGCTGCAAGTTGGGGGCGCCAGACTGGGGCCCAGATTCTCCATTCATGACACACGAGAGCTTCCTGCATGGGGGAAGGAAATGGAAGGAAGACTTGGATGCAGAAACCCGTGAGTTTGACCACAGACTCTCCCGCCCAGACGCTCCGTTCACAGCCCTTGGGGCATCAAAACCGGGATTGGTTCGGGTCCCCCCTCAAGAGGATTCAGGTCCAGGGTCGCGTCTGGGCGGTATCTGATGGGCCCGGGTCACCACCTGCCAAGTCTTTAGAGGGCCATCGTGTCCGAGTCCGACGCGTCGGGTTGACCTGGTCTATTCCGACTAGGTCTGTCTGACCTGTAACAGGACCTGTAAACAAGGCCGAAGAACCATCATCATCCAGGCCCAGGTATTAGGGTAGATCCACCCTAAGAATCATTGGACCCTCCTATGGATGGTTTTGACCCTGCATAGTGGGGGTTTGGACCCTCAAAACCTTCACCTTTGAGGCTCCGTGATTATTAGGCAGTCTATGCATTTGTTTTAAAGGATGAGATCCTATGAGTGTCCAGGGCCAAGGGCGTGGGTCCAAAAAATGTATAGAAAGTGGACCTTCTGGTTGGGGCCCCACCCCCCCAAAAGATCGCCCCGCGTGCTTCGTACTTCGCCGCCTATGTTGTCCTTCACCCATGCTCGATCGAGAACCTTGGGGATTGATCACCGCGTGGAACACCGCTCACTCGGCCGCCCCGAACTCGGCCGTCCCCCCTCCGGCGGCACAGCTGGTGAGGACCGTCCAGTATGAACGACTCCTGGGCAGTCCGCGGCTGGCGTAGAGGGGGAGCATGGCACGACAACGGAGAGAAAAGAGTCCCTTGACCCTAGGCTTCCTGGCCAACCATGAACTTCAAGAGGCTGAATCCCGATTTTTACACTACAAAAACCAGCTGGTCAACCATTTTCTTTTATGGTCTTGGAAGTCTAGGGTTCAGTATTTAGACCCAGCATCGTCCCGATCGGAATCCAGTCGTGCCTCCTAAACTGTTCGGTATGACTGGACCCGACCCTGGCACCCGGGCCCCCAGTCCCACCGAACCTCTGATCAGAAGGTACGACTGGAGTCCTATAGGCGTAGGGGTCTCCAAACAGATAGTGGCACGGATTCCAAGGATTAGTAAGTAATACGGATGCAACTATGAATCAAGCCCAGCTCGAGCCCCGCAATCATGTAGATAATACTGCTACTGACGATCTCGGAGCCCTCCAAACACGCCGTCTTCGGGGGCACCGCCTTCTTCGGGTCTCGGTCGCGACGCTCCCAACCGCCGTTCCGGGGGCGTCTGCAGGTCGTACCGGGCCCCGAATTCGGCCGAACGAGTCGGACCAGTTGGGTGCGTGCCAGGGGTTCGGTAGACTCTAACTGGTCGTTAGACGTACCGTTGAGTTCGGTCCGACGTCGGTGTAGGCCTACTATAGCCCAGACACGACCTGGCTGGGACTGCCATAGGACTGCCGATCAGGCCAGGGGTGGTGCCAGAGGGGTCTGTCTGGGGCGGCAGTCCTATGGCAGTCCCAGACAGGTCGTGTTTGGGATAGGGATCGTTTTGGGAGGGTCCGGATCCTGAGACAAAGCTGGGAAAAAGGCTGGGAACCCCAGCACCATGTCCTGCAGTGAATGAAACCCCCCCCCTCTTCGCGGCCCCGATCGGCACGGAACAGCATGTGCAACGAACCACTGCCTTGCTGCTCCCAATTCGTTGAGAGCGACTGGACTTGTGTAATCAAGTCAAAAGTCAAGTCTCGGGCAATTCGAAGGCTTTCAAGTTGCACGGCATCGCATGAAATTCGATCGTTTTAACACCATGCGTTTTCAAGATCCTCGGTCGCGCGCCGACCGTTGGATCCTTCCGACTGTGGTCGTGATAGCGTTGCTTCTTCACATGGTAAGGAGCATGGCGGATTTCGATGTCCGGACCAGCAACGTTCTGACAAGTTTGGGGAAATCGTAGGAGCCCTAGATGCACCCTCCAACAGGTCACCACCTGCCACTTTTTTTGTTAACCCTAAGAATCCGGGCCCTCAAATAAATAGGGTTTGGTTCGGCCCCGGACCCCTGCGTTTCGGTGTCGGGTGCGACCCCTGCCATGGACAGCCCGGGCCCGTATTTGTTGGTCTCCAGGTCGGCCACCAGTTCTGAGACCTGTTTATCGTCGGGTGCTGCTACATGTTCGAACCATGACTGCGGTCGCCGTGACCGAGCGCTCCGAACGGATCGACGTCGCTCCGGTCACGTCGCCGTGGACGTCGTCGCGCTCCATTCGATCTCACCAGCGGTGACTGGGGCCTTTGAGCTCGCTCGCTCGCTGGTGCCTACGAGCCGACCCAGTAGACGAAAATGGGACGTCTGACCCCATCAAAAGCAGGTACGGACTGAGTCCCCATGGTTCCGAGATACGAACTGAGGAGGTACGAACTGAGTCTCCAGGTGCCTGAGTGCAAGGGCCACTGATGTTAATTTCCTCCTCCCCCAGAAGCTCCATATATAACATATATAATTATATACAGGTCATCACGGGGAACCCCGCGTGCTCGGCTCGTGGTCATGTGTTCAAGCCGAGGTGGTCGAGTTGGTCATGTGTTCAAGCCGAGGTGGTCGAGTTGGTCGGTTTTCCGGACAAGCTTTTGCCTCTAGGGTGGCTCCAACCATAGGATACGCACACACTGCGAACATGCAGTTCAATAGCTTCCTCTCCTACTTGTACTATAGGCACAAGCCACTGGTCCAGACATGTCCAGACTGCTGAGGAGAGGCCGGGTGGCACGACCGGTCGGGGACTGGCTACATACATTGTGCCCAGACACGACCGAGGGGAGCAGCATGGGCTTTTCGCGGTGAACTCGTGTAGGCCATTCTCTTGACCCTGCCATGGATCGTTTGGGATGAAGTCTTTAG